ATTTTAAGAGGCCAGACGCGAGAAAGCCTCATTGGCGTCCAAATGTTTTAGTAAATTTTGTTTCTATTGAGAAAAATATCGTGTCAACTGGTACCATAGCCGCAATTTCCTTTGATCGTTGGCTTGCAGTTTCGTCTCCTCTTCATTACAAAGCTCGGGTAACCAAAACGAAGATAAAAGTACTTCACGCTTCTGTTTGGATTTATTCCTTGATATTTTCTGTATATCTGTTTGTGCCCCTGTACAGTCATCTTCATGTTTCAGTTCCTCTGATTGTCTTGCCTGTGGTATATTGGAAAACATTTCACGCTCTTCGCCTACACAATAATCGGGTGCAAGATGTAGCTGACGACGAGGGAAGGCAGCAAATGGACGTGGCCAATAAGATCAGGGAGCGCTAAATGATATTCACATTTCTCGTAATTCTCGTTTTGTTCTAGATATCGTTGATCCCACAGTTCATCGCTCTAAATTTGTTGATCCTCAACCCAAAATACATAAATCCAGAAAGGTTTCGAATTTTTATGCACGTATCTAACAAATGTGTTTTAATGCCGGAACTGTTGTCTGCACCCTTTCATCTACGCGTGGAGAATTCCAACTAACAGGAGAGCATTTAAGGCGGTTTTCAGTGGCTGTGTTCGCCTGCCAAGAAACAATGTCTCCATGGTGATGCCAAAGCACGTTGTCAACCGGAGTGACCACGCAGGCAGCACTAGGCCTTAATTAAGCGAAAGACCACACTTTCTTTTGGTTTATTGTCTCAACACATGACGAGCAATGTTGCAAGGCCAAGGGGAATGTTTGTTAATCATGAGCCGATGGCGCGCGATTTCGCTCTTTTCTTATCTTAGGCGTAGTTTTTCGGCGGTGAACCCAGTCAGGTTCGCTAGAGGTGTGCGGTGTAAACTCCCAGAACCACCAGGGTGTAAAAATTGTCGGAAGCCGGTCATGTTATAGTTTGCGGACTATTATGCTATACATGGAAAGCTACTATTAACGCATAAAAGCTTTACATAAACTTCAATTACTCATTTTTTAAAAATATTATTTGACTTCTTTTGGTCTCCTCAACTATCTCGTCGCAGTTAATAACAGGATAGACAAATACATGCATCCGATGAGCAATCTAGCAATTCGAACTTTTTTTGTTTGTATTTTTTAATTTTTTTGTCATGTACACATGTATTGTGATCATCGGCTATCGATGGGATATCATCGACCATAATTCTACAAATATCTTTCATTTGTTCTGACGAAAGTCCTCCCGCCTCTTCAAAGTTTACGGATAACCCAAGGGCATTCCTTTCTGATATTCCTCAAGTTTCAAACCTCGCATCCAATGTAACGAACCTTATCCTTTACTTGAAAAGGGTATTTAGGTTAGCAGATTGTTTGGCCGTTGCCACAACGTAAAATACAAAGATCCAACCGAATATTCATTTCAAGGGGATGTTTTTGCTTTTTCTCCACCTTTCTATAAAGCGGTATAGTTTTGAAAGATAACCACATATATTGGCTGCTAGAAATCGGAAGAAAAAACTCTTATATTGTTCTTTCAGCAGCTAAGGCGTTCACCAAAGCTCCGTCGGAGTGATAAAGTATACGTTTGCTATAATCAAGCAATTTTGGATTACTACAGAAATCTACAGCTGGCCACCTTTAATCATAAGAAATATTTTCTTTCCTAGAACAGCTCAAAACAAAGCATTTCTTTCTCATTTATTCTCACATCGTATCATGGACTAGAAATTGCAATTCACTCTTTCCCATCAAATTTCCATTAAATTGGGGGCTTTCAATCGGACGTGTACTCATGTAGGTCCAAAGATTTTGCTTTCGGCGCTACTTTACTTTGGTTGAGAGTTGCTGAAAACAGTAATAAAAGAAGGTTTTATTTGAAGAATGTAATCATCTTTAACCCAGCTGGTCCTTTCGCAGAGTAATCAACTTCTTTAAAAAGAATATAAGGCTATTAATCCCATTTTATGATAGACAATTTTTGGTAGGTGGACAGAGGGAACCTTCTTGGCCTCAAGGGAGAGTAATTTCTCTTGCAATCAAACACGACGACTCACGACATTGGAAGAGAAAATAATCTAAAAGTTGTAGTTATTACAACCAAACAAACACTAAACAAACAAATTGTCTTAACACATGATGAGCAATGTTGCAAGGCCAAGGGGAATGTTTGTTAATTATGAGCTGATGGCGCGCAATAGTTATCACCACCAAACAAACATTGCAAAGAACTGACTTTCAAATTAACCATTACAAGTGGCCTAGAAATCTCCCTTTCCTTTTCCTTTTAATGTTAGATCGAAAAAGTAATGTGGTATGTTTCTTTTAATTCCTTTTGCACGCATATCGCTTGTCTCGTATGTCAGATGCTATGTTTCATTTTTAGAAAAAGTCATGACACAATTTTGAAGTGACGTCAAAAGTTTGAAAGGCTCATAAATCTTTCTGGCAATGAAGTAAGCGGAAGGACTCTTTGCTTTAAGAGCTATGGCCACTGTGCATCTTTGATGGACTCTTTGCTTTGAGAGCTATACCCACTGTGCATCTTTGATGTTACTTAATGATGGCTCAGAGGATTGATTGGCTAAATACAGCCATAAAAGTTAAATGCCGAACCTTAGTGATGATAAACCGATCTATACTGTTGATAGGTTTTAACGAGAGGTGCCATAGAATCTTTGTAATAACACTTAACATATATATATAGCCACCCTATTTATAAAGTTAAGGTTATTGCCTTCAAATCTCCATGTTTAGTCGCATTTCTCAAGAAATGTAGTCAAATTAGCCGAGTAGAAAAATCCTTAGAATATTAAACCGCCCTAACGAAACGCAAGGTAGCAGGAACTTCTTTCTCGTTCAAATTTTTCTGGTTTTTATTTTAGCCACGACCGCTTTTCTCTCGAATGCGTTGTTGTCGATAACCATTTATCAAACGCTTACAACTCTCCTGGTGGTAAACCTGAGTATCTGCGAACTACTGGCTGGTCTTTTGCCGGTTTACGGACTCGTTTTTTACCATGTTTGTATCTCGAGAGACCAGATGCAGGAAAACCTTGTTGGAGTACGAATGTTGGTGTTTTACGCCGGGATCGGGACAGATATCGTGTCATCTGGCACCCTTGTTGCGTTGTCCTTTGACTGATTCTTCGCAGTTTTATCTCCTCTTCAATACAAAGCGCAACTAACCAAGACGAAGAGACGTGTTAAAGTAGTGGTCGCGTTGATTTGGATTTATTCTCTGACATTTCCCAGTTTCCCTTTGATTGAAGTGCTAATATCTCTGTTCTTTATCTTGAACTGCTATCTTCATATATCAATTCCCATAATCGTCTTGCCTGTGGTATACTGGAAAAGTTTCCGTGCTCTTCGTGTGCGCAATAATCAGGTGAAAGATGCAGCTGATGACGAGGGCAAACAGAAAAATGGACGTGGTCCACAGGAAAAGAAAACGCAAAGTGATATCCACATTTCTCGTAGTTGTCGTTTTGTTTTATGGATGTTTGGCCCCACGATTCATCACTATCAATTTGGTGATCGTTAACCCAAAATTCCAACAGCAAGAAAGTTTTCGAATTTTTCTATTGGCATCTGGTGTATTTAAATTAGTAATTTGTTGTCTTTATGCTTGCTACTCATGTTTCATATTTCATATTCATTCTCTGGTTGAAGTTTTCGTTCTTTTCATAGTTTGTGAGGTTTGATATTTCAAAACGTTTTAACGATGCTTGAGCACTACTCTGAAAATTGTCGAGGATCATCACTCACGCGGATTAGAATGTTTGCAAAACTAAAAGGATGTTCAAGAATGATCATGAATTTACATTCTTGATTTACAGTATTTCAGTCTTGTTCAAAATTCCTTTTTTAAGTTTTATATTAATGGTAAGAGCGAGTTCTGATTTTAAAAACAAATTCCATGCCGAGATCTGAAAGATATAAGACTGTTTTATGGGACATACCTCTAAGATAACTTTAACAGATACTTGGTCTATTAATGAAAAATTTTATCGTCTACGCGACTAAATTTGTTACATTAGATATTAGATATGCCGGAGGTTTGTGGTACACGAAGACTCCGAGAGCGATGACTTGAAATACCGAGGGATGTCGGAGACTTCGTAATTTGAGTAGAGCAGAGGTTTAGTTTCTTAATTAACACCATTGATTGAGGTAACCTTGAATAAACTTTCATTGATTATCACTTAGCAACGACCAATGGGAGATCAGATTAGTCATTCTATTACGCGATATCTCAGTATATAACACTAGCGCCCCACTTTTTTAGGAGAGTAGTTTTTACACACCCGTTCTAAGACGAATTCGAGAGACATTGATAAAACGCTTATTTTTAACTCAGTCGAGTCTACTGTTTGACAGTATTAATAGGTCACAACCCCTCGTAAACGGGGCAGAGTTTACGAAAGAGAAAAACACAGCAGATTTCAAAGCTTTGTGCACAACCAAATTAAACAACGACAAGCCATCGATAACACGGCAAGAAATGTAGAGAAAACAAAAACAAGTAAAAATATTGGAAAATTATAAATAGAAAAGAAAACATAATTATTTTACAATTAAGAAAAAAATGATTTTTCTAATAACGCTCTTTGGATATGATATATTAAAAAGAAAAGAATAGAAAAAGAAAAGAAAAGAAAAGACAAGACGAGAATGTAAGAGAAGAGATTTGCACAGAAGAGAAGAGAGGAGCCAGGGAAAAAATAGAATAAAAGAGATGAGACGAGAAGGAAAGAAAATAGAATACAGTAAAACCGAATGGAGTAAAGGAAAGCAGCCTAGAATAGAAAAGTATTAAATATAATGGATAAGAATGGAATAGAACTGAGTAGACGAGATAAGACTAGACAAGGATAGAATGAGTAGAATGCGACAGAATAAAGCAGCTGTTTGACTGGGTGGGGAGGGTAGATTGGCATTTTGATGACGCACTATTTAAAAAAAGAAATAAAGTTGGACAATTTTCAGTGAATAAAGCTTTGTTTCCTGGCGTTTCACTAATAATACATTTGACTCTACCAATCCTACTAGCAAGCTCTTAATTTTTTATAATTCAAATTCCATGACAGAAATGTTCTACCTTAACCCTTATACAATTATATGTTTGATTTGCTATTAGACCGGTCTGCTCACGACAATCGCTTTTTCTTGTTGATAGTAAAGAGCTCACTCTCAGAAAGTTCTCTTTCTGTCGAACGTTTCTTTGAAGCGGTGGAAGATGTTGGCAAATCCCCACCTAAAAAGAAATTGATAAACAAATAGAAAATTATTTTGAATATATCAACAAAGTTGAAATGGTAAATTAGCCACAGTTACGATTATAAAAGCTGACGTTTCGAGCGTTAGACCTTCGTCGGAGCGACGAAGGGCTTCGTCCGACGAAGGTCTATTCAAATTATTTCGTTACCCCCACCGACGCAGCCCCAAACAGTTTCTTTAGAAACTATAAGCCTTTAAATAGAAAATTAGTTGAAAAGTGTTGGATGAAACAGTTGCCCATGGCTTCTAGCGTTTTTCTTGATGCAAAATTCTCACAAGGAGAATTTCTTGTAAGAGGTTTCCCAGCAAACAAAAGTCCTTTTCAGTTCACTGTCACATTTTAATAGAACTGTAAGGATTGTCAACCATGAACTTACATCGTTGCTACTGTATGTATGTTTATATGAATACCGAACTGATCACTACCCCACAAAAAAATTCCAACCAGAAGGAGGCAGACCATTTGGCTCTTCACAAAGAGCAGTAAAGGAGTTGAACTCGGGGAAAACGAAAACAAATAAAGTACTACGTAGCAGGGGTAAGAGCTTGATTACCTCTCGGCCACACTACCTCCAAATATCCGAGTAAGGTTAATCACTCTAAATATTCCAACCAGGAGGCAGACCATTTGGCTCTATACCGTCAAAGTACAATAAAGGAATTGAACTTGGGGTAAATGAGAACAAATACAGCAAGTAGCAAGGGCAAGAGCTTGATTACCTTTCGGCCACAGTGCGTCCAAATATGCGAGTAAAGTTAATCATTCTAGCCCTATGCGGGTAACCGAACTGTTACCTTACTGCGATGGCGTTGTGTTCCCTTTCTATGCTGGTAAAGATGAAGAATTGTAGGGCCAATTTACTAGGATATTTGAAAAAACAAGTTCGTGCAATCGTGAATTATTTTTGTTTCTTACTTGAGGTGGATGAAACAGGTTCGTCCCCATCGTCATCCTCATTGTCATCGTCGTGAGTAATTGTGACAATTTCCTCTGTAGTGGGGGGTTGTGTCGTGGTTTCTACTCAAGTTTAGGAGGAAAATCGCCCAGTTTTTAGAGAGCTCATAAAATTTATATTTCTAGAGAAGTAAATGTTTTTTTCGATAGTGAAGGGAAGAAATTCCCGAATGGTAGGGGAGCATGAACAGTTTTAGCGGCGATGACCTAAATCTCAGAGCAAAGCATAATCATCCCAGCCCAAATGATGTAACTGCCGATCCTTCGACTTGATCTATATCAATTATGATGCATAATTAGGACTACGTATTGCCAGTTGGGGGAAATACAGCATTTCATTCCAAGACAACATGCATCAACCAAAACATAGTCGAAAAAGCGAAAAATTCTGACGGTTAATATAAGGAAGGCGATAAAATTAGCGTGGTAACGAACAAACATAAAGTCTAAATCAGTTATGTAATAAAGAACACTGAGAAGTCAATACTTTACATTCCCTACCTGAACAGTTTGAAATCATTTCACAGCGGGTCTGACTTTTCTAAAGAAAAGAAAGAAATTTTTTTAACAGAGGCACATAATCCTTATCTATTTTATGAGATTAACTTTACCCAAGCCAAAAGAAACTAACAACATATAACAATGAACTTGTTTTATCGAGTATCCAGTTGAAAAGACTCGCTGATAAATTTTCTTATAATGTGATGACCAACAACAAGCGAGCAACAACATCAATATCAACAAAAAATAAACAAATAAACAAAGAAGTATTTAATCAATTTGAATAGATCGTTTTCACGTGACGTCACATCATTTCCGGTCGCCATATTTGTGTACAACCAAGGGTAATATTATATATGCAAATAATAAACACATCAACAATTTTTGCCTGTAAAAATGAATACTACAGCAACGGAAGCAAGCTTAAGTACCAATACTGATATCAGTATCCATCTTCCTCTTTCTAAGTACGCCAAGAAGCTGGAACCACGAGTAAGGCAGCGTTATTTGGAAAAAATTTCGGCGATTGGAATCGATCCCGTCCTTATTCAGAGTAAGAATTTTCAACCAGACTGCTTGCCTCCAGTTGAATCTACAGATCTCTTTTTCTATCTGGTTTTGGAGACACGCAACAAAAGTTTAAGGCTTTCCGAATCCTGGAAGCCTACAATCAGATGGTTTCGGGATTTGTAACCAGCGTAAAAGGCCACATAATCGCAAACAAATTTGTTGTGTTAGCCAAGGTGAGACATTCGCAGAGAATGAATGATTCGTTGATCCCTATCTGGATTATAGCAGAAAAGGAGGGGACAATTTTATCCGCTCATTGCCTAGGTTGTAAGGCCGGGCTAGCTGAATCATTCTCGCATATTGCAAGCATTTTATTTTACGTAGAAGCGTGGACGAAGATAAATGGAAAACTTGAACGCAGGTTAAATGCTCATGCCTTCTTCCCTTGTTCGTAGACCCCGTGGTGTACGCAAGGGCCCGGGATATAAACTTTACATCGGCTAAGAAAATGAAAGCTGACTTAGATTCCAAAATATCTGACCTTAATTCTGAAGTCCTGAATCTCGGTCCACCAGAGGCTGATTTTACAGTCCATGCTAGCACGGTAAAGAAAATAATGTCCTAAATTTAGAGTTTTGACCCAATCAATGTTAAAGTTATCCCATGATTTTGCGGCCTTTCCAGAAACAAAGTGTTTCTCACACAGGCGATCGTTTTCCAAAATGGTATCGGTGAGATCGTCTCTGCTAATAGCAGAAATCCAGGGCGTTCTTCTTTCTGCTGACAATTCTCTGGCTTCATTTCCTTGATTTTCAATTATCGAAGGTAGCTTGGCAAAATATAATCCTTTATCCCTTCCACTTCTACTTCCACAGCCGACAATCAAGCACAAAACCATCTTCTTTCAAAGGACGCAGTAGATTTGCATGCGATATCTGTACACAAATATGGCGGCGTAGCAACAGTTGTCAGGGTTATGGTGACGTGAGTGAAAACGATCTATAGCTAGTCAGGCACGATAAACCAAGCTCATTAGGAAACAAGTGAATCCCAGTTTTATAAGTAGTATGTCGTCTTTTGTAAAACGAGATTCGATGGTATGTACGTTCGAATTGGTGAGTTTTAGGTCTGCCAGGGTGGCTCATTTTTCCGAAGCTTATCCTGCTCTCCGTATAATAAAGCGACCAGGAGTATTGCCATTCCACTTGGATGGGGAGCTTGTTCGTCAGAAGGCAGAAAACGGGCAAGTTGTTGTTTAAACTAGCTATAATGCAATACATTAGTTTCTTCGATACCTGGCGGATCAAGCCTGTCCATCAATATGAGGGGGAGGGGGAGAGGAAGAGATGGAGCTTGGGAATTGGAGCAACTTTGACGCCTTTCCAACACCTTAATCGTGCAAGATTAAAATAACAAATAACGCGCCTCTGGGCGCGCTTATTTCTCAGAAGATGGCCAGGAAAACAGTCATTTCTCCCATTTGCATTAACTTTTAAACCTTAACGGTATGTATCATTTAATTTCTCAATAAGTCATCATTTAGGGAATCAAACATTAGGTTCATAAAAATTAAAGACATGATCGCGGACTTGAAAAGCTCTCAATTTTTAAACTAACTTTTCTTTGTAATTACCAAATAAAAAACTCGAAGGAGAATATACAAGTTGATGTTAGGGTATAAATGTTTAGACTATAATAAAGTATAAAGTAACTTATTACATTTGATTAAGACATTTAAAATAAATTTCCGATTGGATCAGAATGTCAAAGGAATAACCTCGTTACCAATTGGAAGCAGGATAAAAGCAAGAAAAGAAAGATCACTTGCAAACAAAACAAGAAATCAGAATGACATACCTCGCAGCGACATCTCTCACATTGACTCTTTTTCCACGAGGTTCCATCAGGTTTAATTTCATTTCCAAAGACACAGTCTTGACCGTCAACTAAAGCCTTCCAGATTTCAATCGAAGCAAGCTGAGGTAAATAAATCAGTCAATTAATACGTGAATAGATTCATGAGCCTACAATGATTTAGAAAGAAACCACATGATTGGTAAATTCTTCAGTCAAAAGACTTGTCAGGCTGGCCTGCAGTAATTCATCGTTTGTCATTTCGCTGTATATCCATTCGAAATCACTTGTGACCCTTTCGGTCTAACTGGCTCTCAGTAGCGCAGCTTGATTACGAAGGGCACAATTTTTTAAAGCTTTTAAAAGCGTATCTTTTTCCCAGCCAATGAGAAAGCAACACCAAAACAAAGCAACCAGTAAGATTTGAAAGCGTGCTATAAAGTAAACAATCAAATTTCGGGAAAATGAATGACAAAGAAGCCGTTGTAAGGGGAAATTTCACAACTTTTGTCCCCAAAACACTTCTTTTTCCTCTCCTGGTCCCACTTATTTATAAACCAGCTCGGTACTAGATCAATGAAAGATTAACGCCTACTAAAATCCCGATTTGGGCTATAAAAGTTTGCGATTTCAAAGTAGATGTAGTAAAGCGGTAATGGAACTTCGTGTCGAGCAATTTGGGATGAAACCATACTTGTTATTTTCATTTGGAACTCGTATGATTAAGACTGAGTTGCAACAAACGAAGTTCAATCACATAATTTATCACTAATTGGACTTGCGTGATGTAATCTAAGGGTACAAGAATAAATCCATCCCTATTTTCAGTAAGTCATCGGTCACTTTATTACTTTCATGTGTCAAATATAATTATCACAGATGAATTTCAATCAAATCGAAGAGCTAAACAATGACCACACCTTGTTCTTTAGCTGTTCAACACTTTGCAACAGAGCTTCAAAATCACTGCAGGTAGGGCAATCTGAACAAATAAATTACCACGACGCATCATGAGACCTTTGTCATCGATTTTGTGAGGATTATTCTTAGGGGAAAGCATCCATTACAGGGAAAACAAGTCTCTCGACTCTCTTGCTCTTTCCAAGGAATTCTTTCAGTGGGTTTAATGGTTTGGTATCTGTTCTCTTTTTCACAGTTTGTTAGAAACAACATGGCAAGGTGTTCAAATTATTTCCAAACACCCACGATTGTGTTCGCTTCCAAGAAGAAGCAGAATCGAACGGGCGGGTTGGTTTCGACTGAGACTGAAATAACTTGATTTTCCGCCTACAAATGAGCGCTGCGCTATTCAGTTTAATGGATGGTAAGCGTAAGCAGTAATAAAAACTTCAAAAAACGTCAGAAAGAATTTGAAGGAGATTTTACTTACGTCCGCACGTTTTCCCGTCAATTTGTAGTTTAAAGGTTGGATGACAAGTACATTGATATGTACCAGGAGAATTCGTGCAGTTGTGATGGCATCCACCATTGTCCTGTAATTTGGAAAAAAGGGTGAAATCAGAGAAGGCCTCATCAAAGAAGAGATGTTCTACTTGAAGTACTTGATTCTCAGTTTTTTCGATTCCACAAGGACAGAATACTCTTCTAGTCAAATACACCAAGGACACTAAACTGCGGTGAGCAGGCGGTCCTTAACGAGTTCCAAACGCTGATAGTGTCTCTTGTAAAAGCAACAAAAACAGAAAGAAACCAAAAAATGACGAAGTTCATGCCTCATCGCAGTCGTTAACAGTTCCACCTTTACTTATCATGTTTTCGCTGTTTTTGTTTTTCTTCTGCTTATTTTTGTGTCAATATTCTGCGCATCCTTACCGTAAGACACTCGTTGATGTCCACACAGCGTTTCGAGTCACTACTGTCGATTACAAACCCTGAGTTGCACGAGCATCTGATTAAAAAAAAAAGACAAAATATCTCACCTGATGAAGTGTTCGCCCCACACCGTAACCACATAAAAACATAGAAATCATAAAAAATAATTTCATGGCGCCAAAAAAAAAAAAAAAATGCAAAAGCATATCTTGGGCGGGAAATCACTAGTTTTTTAACCTCAGCTATTGGTCCCCACAACAAGTAAAACGTTTACATTTTAATGATGAATGCGAGGTTGTCGCTAAATCACCCAGCGACGAGAACAGTACTTTAAGCTAGGCAAAACATCTTGAAGAAATCTTAGCAGCACAACCTTAGTTGGCAATTATCAACTGAACCGACCGGCACCAACTGCTAATTATTCCTCACCTATGACTTCCCGGGTTGTTTGTACAAATCTGTTCGCAGCCTCCGTTATTAGTTTGGCACTCATTTACATCTAAAGAGAGCGATAAAATATCCGAAACGGTGTCACGGAATAGTTTGTCAAACATAATGAGGCGACGACGGATAAATCACAGTAAGCAGTGAGAAAAAACCACTAACTATAAAGTAACTTTGGCATTTACTTTTCCCAACAATTTTCTTGCACCATTGATTAACTGTTAAAACTTTTGTAGTGCTAGTGGCAATATTTTATTAAAAAAAGGTCTAACAAAACTAGAGAGCCTCAGTTAAAGAGAAAGTAAATTACATTTTATAAAAGACGAAAGCAATCTTTCACGTTCATCAATGCTCAAAAATATTTCTTGACTTCAAAAACCCAAAACCACTCAAAATTCTCCGGCTGATTCATCCCTTTGCTTCATTTCACTTACCTACACAGGTGCAGTTACTGCTGGACGTGTATCCCTGATAACAAGTACAATTATAGCTGCCTTCTGTGTTGACGCAACCTTGGTTGCAACATGCAGTGTTCAACAGACATTCGTCGATATCTGATTCCAAAGAACGAGAGCAATTACTTAATTGGCTTATCTCCTTCCAAGAGTTTAGTTCAAATCACACGCATAAACAATCCCTCGTAAAGTAGAAAATTGATACGATACTGTGCAAAATTATGCTAACGATTACCGTCGAATATTGCGCTTTGGTCTTTCGAATATCACCGATATATTGTACATTTCATCGACAATTCAAAACGATAAATCGACGAGATAACCGAGCTTTCCTGCGTCTCGTTCCAACGATAAATTGTTCCAGCGATATATCGTTCCGGCGGTATATCGCTACAACGATGTATCGAAAAGCGCGTACTACATCATTATCGAGATATCGCTCCAATGAAATGGGATACGTCAGGTTTCGTCAGTGCGATATATCGCCTCAGTGAGTTTTCGTTTGCCGACAGACGCATGCCTTTTTTTTTATCTCTTTCAAGCGAAATTGCTCAGCCACTTTGTCTACCGTGTCATAAACAATTTGCTTGTGCTTCATCAAAAGTAGCATAAAAAATGACAGAGTAGTAAAAAATAGTCATATTAAAAGCAACCTAATAATAACTTGTTCCGAAACATAACGGGTTGAAGTTCGTTACAACATTAGGAAACGAGGCAGGCAACACGGATAAATATATAAATGAAATATTTCAATAAATGACGATAGGTTGTGACTAAATGACAGTATACAGCGATGTATCGCGGCTCTTAGAACAATAGCCCTACGATGTATCGCCGATATATCGTTCTAACTAAAATATTGCTAAAATATCGCCGATATTTCACGATCATCGCATGTAAATTTGGAAAATTTATGTCACTACAGAAAATAGTGTGGGCCTCTTTTTTTCTGCAATGACTTAAGTCCAGTTCGCCTGTGAAGCGGAAAGTGATCACCTGACATCTTACACGTCAGTCGAAAGTAACATCTTTGATAAATGTGGGGTCCGCTGCAAAAGCGCTTCGCGCGCTGCGAGCTCCGCTAGGATCTGTTTGATGATTGCAATTTGCAGTTACATGCAGCCATTTTTTTTCGTTTTATTAAAAGGGTTTTCGATGGTTGAAAAAGAAGTTCAGCGAGATATCCTCGTAATCCAAGCCGAGATAAAAATTCCACATCCTTTCAGACCTTAATTTAACGTTCCTTCTCACAACGGCTTTGGCAAAGTCAAACTGATCATAAGTCCGCTTCTTAACGATATGTACCTCTACAGGTTGATCCATCTCTCAGAAGTTTGTAACCATGACGGCAAGCACATGAATAACTGTGAAAAGACAAAACGTACATTGGGAGAGTAAAAGATAGGTTAGATTGGTTGCGTGTCTAGCATGTTAATCCTAGGGAACCCCAAAAACTTTTCTTGAAACTTGCAAAGTTATAAATAATGAGATCTCTTGAGCGATTAAAGTGTAGAGTAAATATTTCGAGTAAAATCCAAAATAAAACTGGATATGTTATGAAAAAAACAGTAACAATATAATGATAACAATAATGATGAAGATGATAATGATGATAATGATTATAATACTGCTTTCAATGACAACGGTAATGATATTAGTAACAATAATTAAACTGATGATTTTCACTTTCAAAGAAGTTGACACCAAACAGACATGTAATTAGAGTGGCTCTCGTTATTGTTACGTACAAATTCATTTAGCCTTCATAAAAAGGTGAAATGTACATCAATAAGTACAAAATAACGCTACAACAAAGAAACATCAAAACTTTTCCAAACGCCTTTTCCTGATCTCTTCTAACGAGTTCCGAGCAAATACACCCCTGTACTCAAATGATTTCTGTCCTGTTCTTGACGTTACGAGGATTTAGCCATTAAAGAACTCCAGAGATTCTGCAGAATCAATACCTTCCATTTTCATTTACACATCTTTGATCGCAACCACCATTATCTCCGATACATTCATTGATATCTACAATAAAGAGAGGTCGCTGTAAACAGCCGAGAAGATTCTAGAAAAAAACATCAACACTATTTTTGTATTTGCCTTTTGAACTTGGTCTTAAATGGTATGGGTTTTGAAAATCTCATTTTTCAAGGCTAAATGCCCGTCAAATATCAAAACCCATTCACGCTCGCCCAGTTGTCAAATCTTAATTAAGAAGGACAATTTCCTTATCCTGTTTCTCAAATTTAGGCCCCTGTGGCCATATTGTTAGTTTCAACCGAAAAAAAAACATTGAATCGTCAAACTCTCATTATGTAGCTAAGTTCTTGTTTTTCAAGTATTTTACCTTCACAGTGGTGACCGTCTGCAGCCAGTTGGTAACCAGCTGGGCACAAACATTGGTAACTTCCAACAGTGTTGACGCAGCCTTTCTCGCATTTCCCCAGTTTGCATTCGTCAATATCTGAAGATATGAAAAATCAAGGAGCTAGTAAGTAATATCCAGCTCTGTTATGACTAAATGTAAAAAAATAAAAAAAATAAAAACTATCTATTCAACATACTAAGATCAGTAAAAGTAGGCTGTAACATCCGACTCTATCCTATCTCTGACCGAAACCTAAATACTTAGAATTAAATTTCCAATTTTCAGTGAAACTCTTCAGAATGTCACACATTTACTGCACTGCAATCATTGAAAACCTTTCGTGGCCCTAGGCCTTACCACTTTCTAATTTCCAATACGTAAACCTTAAGTATTAGTAGTACATACCGCTGCAAGTTTTGCTGTCGTTTTGGAGGTAAAAACCTGGTCTACATCCACAGTGGAAGCTAGATATGAGAGAAGTTTGCAATAAATATCACATCTTTAGCATAGCCCACATAATTTGACCAATCATTAAAAAAAAAAAAAAAAAAATAAACAGACAACCAAATAGTAAACCTAAATAATCGTCACCGTTCAAATTAATTTTGACCTAATCCGCCATTCTGTTTTTATAGCAGCAACTAAAGTAGTGTTTTAGCACTAAAGAGGCCAAGTGGTCCATGACTGTTGATGTTTATCGCGGCTTTCTGCGGCATGAAGCGACTAGGAATATTATTACTTATCATGAAGAGGATCCTTATCCATTGCCGCTTAACCCTTGTACTCTCCCCACCCATCCTTATAACAAGATTATCGGGGGGGGGTTCCCTTGGGGTTCCCTCGGACGGTTCACTCCTCCCTGACAATTCATTTCTCTCCCAGATGGAAAGGGTCCTGGAGTTTCTTGTCCAGGAACACAATAAAGAGGCCCGACCGAAGCTTGATGTCGGATATCTGCGGAATCTACTACGCTAACCATAAAGACTCCGTGTCTGCCAAAGAGTATCAATTGCGATACTCTTTTCCTCAAGCGTTGCTGATATGAAACTACTTTCCACTGGCAGTGAAAAGATGGGGTAAAGAGCTGATAAAATAAAGAAATAAATAAATAAATAAATAGAAAAAAAAAAAAAAAAAAAAAAAAAACATATCAACCTTCCAGGAGTGTTGTTGCAAACTTGGTCGCACTGATTTATCTCGGGCCTAGTGCATTCGTCATTATCTAAAACATAAACAGGATAAGAAACTGAAGAAACCTTTGCCATCTTTAGACAGACTTTGTCAATAATGTCTCATTATTGCTTACCATTGTTCTTGTACCAGGTATTCGATTTCGTGAATAATCTAAGTTTTCACAGGACATCATAAAATTTCGAAAAGCAAAATTACGGAAAGTTTTTGGTGTCGTTTTCAAAATAAGGCAATCGGTAATTTTCCCATTTAAGAAAGGCTATCACGTACATCGAAATGATTTTTTGAAAATTTATTTTTGTTTCCTATAGGCAATTCAAAATTTAGAAAACCCTTTTAGTGAATATTTCCAGTAGACCACATGTTACGTTCTTCGAAAGGGGGCAATTATGGCGTTATAATTCTAAACAAGAAAAATTCGTGTTCAAAATTTGGCCAGTAACTGCTTGCATGTAATTACTTGAAACTTGGACAGATTGATTGTATACTTTTTTCCCTCTAACTTTGTCGCTTTGAAAAGCAGGAATGGGTTATGAAAACAATGACAACATAAACTTCTAAAGGTCTAAACACCAGCCTCACCGATACAGTCCTTCCACTGCGAGGAGTAACCATCGGGGCACTGGCACGAGTAGTTACCGGGAGTCTTGTTGCATATCGCGAGACTGTCACACTGGTGTATCTCATCAAAACATTCGTCTGTAAAGAGGATATACAGAAAGTAAGGATCAGAGAATAAGGAAAATCATGCTACACTTTGTGCATCAAAATGAGGCACAAGTCTTCGACGCTCGTAACGAAAGAAACTGAAACAAAATAACAACAACATCAAAAATACGCGAAATAACCAAAAGGTTGTTGAAAAACAAACAAGCCCCCCCCCCCCAAACAAAAAGACAGTTGCCCTTGATATCATGGATTATTGCCCACAAGTCGGTTAAGGCTTAATGATTCAGCATTTGGCCGATGTTAAGGGATATCACAAATAACTGGGTAGAAAGAGCAACAAGTAAGGCAAAAACAAGAAAACAAAATACGCACCAATGTCAATGCAAATAACATCAGTTCCATTCGAGCCGGAGTTCACAAAACCCTCAAAACAGGAACACAAGTGGTTTCCTTGAGTATTAACGCAATTCTGCGAGCAGTTTCCGTTGTTCACTTGACATTCATTTATATCATGACAGGTCAGTCCATCAGCATCTAGGTAGAAGCCCGCGGCACAAGAACAGCGGAATGACCCCACAGAATTAGCGCATGCGTAGTCGCAGTCTCCTTTGCCATTATTTATGGCACACTCATCGACGTCTTCACAGTTGAGTGACCTAAAAGACATTGAGTTTTTTAAATTCTCCGAGAGCTGACCACACCATGAAGTTTTCTTTAAAGCTCATAAAGCTTTTCCCATGGGACTTCTAAGTCTGATCATTAATAGTTAGAACCCGCACCATCTGAAAGTCTGATCCCCTTTGAGTTCCACTTACACCCCGTCCACACTATTGCGCTTTCGAAACGCTCCGTTTTGGTCTGATAAAAAACGCATCGTTTTCTTTGCGTCTACACTATCGTTTTCATAGTTCACGCAAAAATTCTCGAGTACTTCCTATCATTGCAGATCAAACAATGCCTAATAATGAGCGAAAAGGAAAATTAAGTTAATACTTACTCAGGGTCAGTGGCATTATATCCCTCGCTACATTCACACATGTAAGATCCATCCATGTTGACGCAGTTCTGAGAGCAGCCGCCATTATTCACTGCACATTCATCGATATCCGCACAACGAGTTTCATTGTCAGCGGTAACATAGCCTTCATCGCACTCACAACGGAAACTAATAACAATCGAATAGAAAAAAAAAATAAAAAATAAATAAATAACTAGCAAAATAACTTTAAAGGATCGAAAAAAAGCGTTAATCAAAAAATGAATAACAGTATGCCTAAGGTATATCACAGAGCTGAGTGCTAGTTTTAAACCACCAAAGATTCGTCGATTCGACCCCACACCCCCTCCCATTACTAACAAAGGCAAACGAGGGCGAAAGCCGTTCACAAAATTCGGCAACATTTGATGCAAGGTCTAGGAGTGTATTCAGCTTCAGCAAAAGCGATGCAAGGCGAGTGCTGTCACTACTGTACCCCCCTGGTCGATGAAACTCGTGGCGAATCACACCAGCAAATAAAATAAAATATGGACTTCAAGCAAAATAAGGCTAGCTTTCACAACGAGCGATGTAAACAATTAAAGAACGGACGGATTTAAGCATCGGTGAAATTTATACTGTGTATTTCAATGAGCTTTTTCATCTTTTCGTGGTCTAAGCCCTCTTTGAATGAAGTGTGAGAACCTGCAGAGGTCTCGGAAAACAATAACGATGTCAGTTACAATTCTTCACAATTCGTTACCTTCCTTCAGAATTGAAGCACTTATGGCAGTCAGGCCGACCCTCTGAACACTCGTCAGTGTCCACACACTTGTGAGGAAGTCGGTCGTCGCGATGGTAACCACTGTAACAATCACAATAGAAACTACCCGGGATATTAACACACTGTTGTTCACACTTTGTTCCTCCCATTAAGCATTCGTCTTCATCTGAAAATGAAATAGTTAAAAAAGAAAAGACATTCCGTGACTCTCCACACCACTTTAAAATAAGAAGATAAGATGTTCAATGAATATAAAATGGGTTCCCAGAGAGGAACTTACCCTCAGCTTTTCCAACTCCGAGTCCTACTTTCCTACTTTCAAAGGTAATCTTCTAAATATTCCTACTTTCAAAGGTAATCTTCTAAATATGTTATCGTCCATAATACGCTGACTCTTTAGGGCCAGTAATTATTTGTTGCCGTGGAGGGGGGGGGGGGGGGGGAGGTCTGAAGATTTTGGCTGTGTCACCATAAAATTTAATAATCCCCCCACAAAACTCTGTAATTTTCTCAGGATCCCTCCATCATTAGCAGTTAATTGGCAGTCAATCCCCCCCCCCCTTTTTAATCTGTTGGAAACGACTGACCTCCCTCCATTCCCCAGTAAGCCATGCGATCTCCACCAAAATCACTTTCTCAATCCCCCTCCAACCCCGCGATAAATAATCACTGGCACCTTACCCCTGCAAATTTTTCCATTAGCACTGAGTCTGAAGCCTTTGTTGCACTTGCAGTAGTAGCTTCCTGGTGTATTCACGCATGTGTGTTGGCAGTGATGAAAACTCTTTGGCATCTTGCATTCGTCGAAATCTAAAAAACAGCAGAAACATTTTCTTCATTAACAAGGCTCAACCTCTACAGAATACACTAAGGTTAGACTAGAAAGTAAGAGATGAAATTTTTAGGAAAAAAATAAGCAAGAAGTTTAAATGTAAGATGCATTTCAACCCTAACCCTAACACATTCTCAGAGCATTTCTAATAAAATTTTTTTCTATAGCCCCTAACCATTAACTGCCTTAGGCGCTTTACAGTCTTAATACCTAATTCATGCTATTTACATTGGTACAAAGTCTAATTTATACAATTATTCTAATTTAAAAATCATTAAAATTACAAAGAGTCCTAAAGGTTATATGCTAACGTAAATAGGTGGGTCTTATGGACCTTTTCAAACTACGTATGTTGACAGAAAGCCTAATTTAATTAATCATTATGTTGATAACACTGTGACCTCAAATCTTAAACGTACATAGTTTAATAGTTTTATAATTGTAAAAAGAATTACACAGTTTAGGAAATGAACACCTTTTGTCAAATTGAAAAGTGGAGGGAGCAGAGGGAGAGGGCCACTAACTTTGCATCCCGTAATTTTTCACACACACCCAGTAACTTTGCATCCCAAAAATGCATTTAGAGCTGTTCGTGAATGTTTTACCTTGACATGTGATCCTGTCAGGTCCTATTTTGTAGCCCTTGTGACACTCGCAGTAATAACTTCCTTCAGTATCACGGCACATCTGTTCACAGTTGTTGTTTCCTGTGGCACATTCGTTTTCATCTAAAGCGACAAAATCGAAGTTATTTCCCTACCTCACAGAAAACAGAACCATTGTTAGTTTTGCCATTTCATTGCAGATATTTGGCCAAATATAGAAATCAGTTTAAGTTTGTTTTATACCAAATACATTCATTCTCTCTACGTGGCACTGCTGGCTTAATAGTCGTCAGGGTTTTGAAGTGATTGAGTTATTCAACCATTTCCGCTTTAGTATTTCTGCGTAATTTAGTATTTCGCGAAAAATAAACCTGCTATTCGAAAAATTATCTAATCGAAAGGAAATCTTAGTACCACAGCAAAGCCTGGAGCATAAAATGTTCATAGCTTCTCCTAAAGGACCGGCCATTATGTATCGCCCTGCTTGGAGGATTGTCACGACAATTTTTACCTGTTTCCCCGTTGCCCCCCCCCGCGCCATCCACCCAAAAGAACCCATTCCCTCTTCGCCCCTAACGGCGGTCCATCTTCCATTGCCCATCGTTTCTACTCTGTTGGCGACGATTAACCCGCACTCTGTTCTTACTTAAAACCCTATGATACCCCCTTCATCCAAATCTCCCGTACCCACCCCTCCTCCCCCGGCGGTTAATAACACTTTCTAAAAGTAACTACACCATATCACACTTACTAATGCATGTCTTGTTGTCAGAATCGATGACGAAGCCATCATTACATTTGCACTTATAGCTTCCTGGGGTGTTCAGGCAAAGATGGTCACAGCCACCATTGTTGATTAAACATTCATCGTTGTCTATTGAGCAGCGGGAAAAAGAGTTCAGTACCT